ATCTTATTCACTCAAGTGAATCTTATTCACTCAAGTGAATCTTATTCACTCAAGTGAATCTTATTCACTCAAGTGAATCTTATTCACTCAAGTGAATCTTATTCACTTAAATAAATCTTATTCACTCAAGTGAATCTTATTCACGCAAGTGAATCTTATTCACTCAAGTGAATCTTATTCATTCATGTGGATTTTACCGACGCAGCGTCTATTGTGCTAAATGATCTTAGAATGCCAGCACAGATTGCTATGCGCACTCAGAGAACTTAAAGATATTGGTCCAAATAATGATGCATTTTCCCCATGTGTGTGTCATCCTGAGTTACTGACCCAGTTTGGGCGTTCCAGTGCTACGTGCAGAAAGTCTGTCAATTTTTGGACAAAGTTATTCATTCATTTTTCTCAGTGACGCTTTTGTATTTCTAGGGTATTCGTTCGGAATCTTGGAACTCCATGAAGTATATTTTATGTTCCTTTAGAATGCTTGTCGTTTCCAAAAGCCTTATCTCATTCGCTGGAGTGTCGCTCGTTTGTATGCCGGAATAATACAGCTACAAAACTCCGAACTGCTGTAGCTCTTGCATAAAAAAGGATATCAGGTAATCATTTAGAAATTTCACAGTTGCCCCAAGATGTCCCTAAAAATTGCTATTTTTATGAATCAATCCCGGTTGCAATTTAAATTCCCAAAAGGCATCGTAAAATATTATTATTTTAAAGTAACAACCTCGGGAGAAACGTTACAACCGCTGACTGCGCATTGAGAGAACGAATTTATCGCCTAAAGTTTTCCGTTTATCGGAACGTGCAATGGAATCAATCAAGCACTAAAGAGCCAAATTATGGCCATTCAGTTTGAAATAAATTACGGTAACGTGTTTCGAAAAGCAGCTTTTACAAATTTGTAATATACGGTAGCCATGTGCAACACAAATGAATTTTAGCGTAATCGTGAATTTAGCGCAACACACAAGACAAATAATTCCTCGAATACAATAATAAAACAACCGGTTTCGAAGAAACGTTGAACGCAGCACGCAACGTGCCGTAAAATACGATAGCGTCGCGTGACATGAATTTCGTCCATGAATACGACGACGGCACATCGCAGTGAGCAATAAAATTCAGAGCAAAGCCTTGTGTAATAAAATTCTGAGCGGCAGCACAATAAAATCCCCGCAGTCGCCTCTCGTACGGATTGCAATGCACTTCCAAACCTCGATCTCATTGATTGTGAAGAGAGTCCCGCACTTCGGGGCGGAGGGAGTCGGCCGAGGCAGCATCGAGCGTCTGTCGCGAAGCACACAAAATTCGGCAGCGGCTCCGGTGGTCGGAAATTGCTTGAGACGCGAGTTTCAGGCCATGGCCTTAATATCAGGCAGAGCATTGGCTGAGCTGTGCCAGTCTAACTTGCATTCTCAGTCAACTCTTGGCAGTCTGGTACACTTCGACATCAGTCAACGCTTGGTAGTCCGGTACACTTCCAGTCAACGCTTGGTAGTCCGTTACACTTCCAGTCAACCCTTGGTGGTCCGTTACACTTCCAGTCAACGCTTGGTAGTCCGTTACACTTCCAGTCAACGCTTGGTAGTCCGGTACACTTCCAGTCAACGCTTGGTAGTCTGGTACACTCCCAGTCAACGCAATTGGTAGTCTGGTACACTCCCAGTCAGCGCGGCTCTACTGCATTCCGAGTTATGCAGCGTAGTTATTTGATTGCACTTGTTGCAGGGCACTGAAGTACTTGTATTATCATATATCTAATTTTTGCTGTATCTTCTTATTATGTATTTCTGATGTTTCTCTATCCCTGTCTTCTTATGGGCAATGTCAAAGTGTTGGTCTCAACTACGTTATCTAAGGTCCATATATTGAATAACATTTAAACTAAATTTACTGCANCTGTCTCTTATACACATCTAGATGTGTATAAGAGACAGGCCTTTGATTATTTTTCGACATTTATTGATTATTTTGATTTATTTTGCGACAAAAATCTGTAAGCTTTAAAGCTTACAGATTTGTAGGTAAAGGTAGGTAGGTTTACCATGTAGGTAAATACATATTATGTATTTATGCATGTATTGATTATGTACACTTTTCATTGATATATGTACACACATACACACACATGTTCGCTAATGATCGTTCGATAATGTTTTGTGTTCATTTATTATTTCAATATCCAGAAAAGTGGCAAATCCTCTATTGCAGTTTGTGTTCCAGTTGATTGGAAATTATAATTAATAAACCATATTGATTGCCTATATTTTAAGGTTTTTGCATAATGTAATTGTATTACAAAAAATAATGCAGTTATTGTTTTGTGAAAAGAATAAATTCTCGCTGCTCATGCATGTGATTGAAATAATTAACATTGTACGCATCAAAATTTTTTATCATGACAAATTAATTTATTAATAAAATGTGGTGTATTAAATTCGATATAGTCTTCTAGATTAAAAACCTTCAAACGTGTAGTGGAATGTAATTAATCAAGTGTTCATTTCAAGCGAAGTTGCATAATTTTAAACGTTCTGGAATATTTTCCTTATGAATTAGAAACTTTTAACTGTAGCTAACTACGGAAAATGTAGCTAACTACAGTAGCTGTAGTTTATTAATGAAAAAATATTATTAATGAAAGTGCTTCATTAGCATCAGTGAAATCATATCTTATAACTAATTCACTTATAGAGCAAAGTAATTCTTGACAGAGACGTTTCTCTCAAAGTTACCCAATAATTTTTTCCGCAAAATAAAATAAGATTTATTTACGAAAGAAAATTTTATAGCCTCTCAAAAATTATGTGGAATATTTACAATTTACAATTTTGTTTGAACTTCCAGCAAATTCCTGGCGCTTCACAGACTAAATTATAAATTACAGTATCATCAATATTTAGCGTTACATTGTTTTTTTCAAAATCAATACACTCGCAAAACAGTCAAATGTGTCGTATGGAACCATGTCGACTGTTCTCCGGAAGGACCTAAAGTTGTCCCCATTCAAGCATGTCAAAAAACACCAACTGTCTGCTCAAGTTGTTGACAAACGCCTCCAAAGATCCAAGATTCTTCTTTCCCGCATTCATGATGGCACGCTGCCAAACCTCGTTTTCAGTGATGAGAAGATATTCAATGTTGAACACCACTTCAACTCCCAAAATGATCGAATTTGGTCGAAGAATGGGACGAAGGATCCCGTGTGGTGACTAGGAAGCAATGCCCGACCTCAGTGATGGTCTGGGCAGCAGTAACAGAGTCCTCAAGGAGTCCTCTCTTTTTTGTTGACAAAGGGGTTAAATTGAATCAGAAGAACTATCGAAATGCCATCCTTGTTGGTGCATTGTTGCCCAGGGCACGAAAGCACTTCAAAAAACGCCCCTGGTCGTTCCAGCAAGACGCCCCTGGTCGTTCATTACCAAAGATGAATGGCCCCCCATCGTCACCCGATCTGAATCCTCTGGATTTTGGGATCTGGTCATACCTTGAGAGCAAGGTCTCGACCGTTCACCATAGCAGTTTGGACTTTATTGATGCAAATGGTGGACATATTGAATGAAATTGTGAAACCTGTATCTCTGAACCTCTGCCTACATAAATACATTTTCAAACATTCACAATTTTGTTTCATTTCATAGTTCTAATCACTCAAAGTTGTAACGCTAAATATTGATGACCCTGTATTTGTTCACTTTGCTTCACGCTGAAGCAAAGCCATGAAAAAATAAATTTAAATCTTAGCCGCCATAGACCTTGACCGTCAAATATTCGGATTAAAAAATTCGCTAATGTAAGCCTTCTCGGTTAAAATTAAGAAATTTCCCAATACACTACGCTGTACACACATTATAGCTCACACACTCCGTACTATACCTACACATTAATTATAGCTCACACACTCCGTACTATACATACACATTAATTATAGCTCAAACACTCCGTACTATACATACACATTAATTATAGCTCAAACACTCCGTACTATACATACACATTAATTATAGCTCAAACACTCGCTACTATACTGGGCATCTCATGACGACGCTGGTGCAGGTCTCCAACGTCGCGCGAGTGAGGGTCTCACTATGAGCCTCATGTGGTTCTTCGGTCCTCTGGGCCCATACTTTCAGATAAAGTTAAGAGATCGTAAGTTCATCAGCCAATCATTGACGGCCTTTCAAGCAAAATCCACCAATCGTAGACAAGAAAATAGAGCGTAAGTTTTTACGTTCACTTCACGAGTTTTGAAAGTATGGCCACTGGTCTGGAGGTGGCATGTTAGGCGGCGGCTCAAAGTTGTGCTGGTCAAACCGAAATGATTTACATTCTGGAGAAGTCTACAGCCTTCTTTGGGGCATGAATATTTGTAAATAGTATTAGCATTAGTCTCATGCAATGATCCCGACTTTTTGCATGGGCTTTGCATGAGCCCATGAAAGTGAAATAATCCATGAAAAAAGTGGGGAGACGTCCAGACGCCACAAAACTGGCGATATCAGAGGCTCTCATCATCAAGAACGAGTCTCCAGCCCTCTAAATCTTTACCATACATATACATTAATTATAGCTTTGACACTTACAATAATTAGCATTATATCATCATTTGCATCCGCCATCACTAACAAATTCGCAAGAAAATTGCCAAAATTTCGCAGTGCTGAGCAAATAATTTTCATTATGAACATATAATTCATGTTAATCGGATTTTTACATTAAAAACAGAAAATGTAACTATGAGCGTTTCCTATAAATGGTCAACATTTTAATGGAAGAAAAATAAAAATAATTATGCCGATTTTATAATACAATTGCGATGCTGAATGATAGACAATTTATGACACGATAATGCACTGCTGAATATTTTTCTGTATATTTTGCAGAGCCGTGGAGTATTGCCTGAGTGTCGAGAACATGAACCTGTCCGCCATCCGCACCATCCGCGTCCTGAGACCCCTCAGGGCCATCAACAGGATACCGAGTAAGAGTTGTTAGGGTGATTATGCAGGCGAGTCAGAGTTAAAGATAATAATTTTGCAGTCACATTTTATAAATCAGGGTTATTATGCAGGCGAGACAGAGTTAAAGATAATCATATTACAGTCATATTTTAGCAGGGTGATTATGCAGGCGAGTCAGAGTTAGAGATAATCATGTTACAGTCATATTTTATTAAGCAGGGTTATTGTGCAGGCGAGTCAGAGTTCAAACTATCATAGTTCAGTCATATGTCAAGCTGACCATATCTCAGTCACATTTTTAGAACATAGATGTGAAGCTAATTCGTCATAATTCAAATTAGCCATATTCCAATAACCATACCTATGAGGCCAAGGCGTTTTATTTCAAGTTGACCATGTTTCTGTCATGTATCAGTAACAATAGTTACTATGAAGCCTATGAGTTATGCTCCAGGACTCGCTGCGACACTCCTGCAAATCTTATTGCATATACACAACTATGAAATTTGTGCTAAGTTGTTAAATCTCTTATCACCTAAATCTCTTAAATCTCTTATAAATAATGCTGATAATCATACTGCAAAAAACTACCGCTAAGGTTCATCAGTTTCCAGTCGAAACAGGCAATGATCGATCGATTAGGGCAATATCTGATTATTCGGCACTTACTAACATGGAATTAACAGACAAATTCGGCGGATATCGCAGTTGTTGGCACACTCATTAACTTCTACCAGTAACTGCTAAAACAATTTTAGACGTATCTTGATTTCATCGCTAAGCTTGAGTTTCTGCGAATTGCCTTTTAGACCAATTTATTTAGAAGTTCGTTTCTGAGTTCTGCACTAATCTGCACTAGTCCCCACTAATTCGAATCGTAGCCCACATTAATCTGCATTGAACCATACTAAACTGCATCACTGTCCACATTAATCTGCACTGAACCACACTAAACTGCATCATTGTCCACATTAATCTGCACTGAACCACACTAAACTGCATCATTGCCCACATTAATCTGCACTGAACCACACTAAACTGCATCATTGTCCACATTAATCTGCACTGAAGCACACTAAACTGCATCATTGCCCACATTAATCTGCACATTAATCTGCACTAAATAAATATAATTTTCGGAGCAAAGCATTTCATTTATTACATCTGAGAAGATTCATATTATCTGAAATTCCTGATAATAATTGAAAAAATTCTCGGGTGCAGGCATGCGTGAGAAGATTTATAATATATAAAATTTCGAAAAATAACTATTTGAGACAATTGGCGTATGCAGGCATGCGTGAAAAGTCTTATAATATTTCTTATAATAATTGATGAAAATTGCGTGTGCCGGCATGCTTGAGAAGATTTAAAGTATCAAATAATTATGTATACAATTTGCGTGCGCAGTTATTTTCATAATAATTAATGAAATTTGCATGTGCCTGTATACGTGAGAAGATTAAAAATATCAAACAATAATAATATATACCATTTGTTTGCGCAGGTACTTTTATTAGCCCATCGGGTGAGACTATATTTTTATTTTAATTACATTCTGTTTATTATTTTGAGCACCCCTAATACTCACTACTAACCCTTCGGGTGAGACAATATTTATATTTTAATTACATTCAGTTTACTACTTTGAGCACAACTAATACAAACTCCTAGCCCATCGGGTGAGATTATATTTATATTTTCATTACATTTATTACTTTGAGCACACTTAATGCAAACTCTTATCCCATCTGGTGAGACTATGTTTCTTTTTAAATTACAATTATTACTTTTTGTACTCGTAATACTTTCTCCTTGCACATCGTGTGAGAGCGAAGCTCTTATACTTTATTATTCATTACTTCGAACACACTTAATACTTCCTCCTTGCAGTTCTACTTAATAATTTAATACTTTGAGTAAACTTAATACTTCCTCTTTGCACATCTTGTGGAATATCAGTTTTTTTTTATTATAAATACATTATTAGAAATACATCGACCAATCATGCGTAAAACATATTTTTCAACATGGCTTGTGACAAATTATCAGTCAGGAATTATGCACGGAAAACTTATATTCACGAATTTTCAGGGATGAACAAATAAGCATTCACGGCACTCAAAGTATATCTCATAAGATGATCCTTGGATCAAACAGGGCAATTAAATAAACAAATAATTCTTAGCGAGCCTTTTCCTAATTCCGTACGACTTAACTCTCTGTTTTGCACTTAATGTGTTATTTGTATTAACTAGCGTATTCTTCGTATGATTTAATGTGTAGGAGGTCGTTAATGTGTGGCACTTAACGTAAAGTTTTTATAAGCCTGAAAAAGCGACCCAGACTTGACGTGACCCACTTGATCTCACCGACCCAGACTTGACGTGACCCACTTGATCTCACCGACCNATGTGAGGCAACTTTATGACCATCTTAATAATGATCAGCGGAATGAGCGCACATTTAAAAATAATGTGAGGCTACTTTATGACCATCTTAATAATGATCAGCGGAATGAGCGCACATTTAAAAATAATGTGAGGCTACTTTATGACCATCTTAATAATGATCAGCGGAATGAGCGCACATTTAAAAATAATGTGAGGCTACTTTATGACCATCTTAATAATGATCAGCGGAATGAGCGCACATTTAAAAATAATGTGAGGCTACTTTATGACCATCTTAATAATGATCAGCGGAATGAGCGCACATTTAAAAATAATGTGAGGCTACTTTATGACCATCTTAATAATGATCAGCGGAATGAGCGCACATTTAAAAATAATGTGAGGCTACTTTATGACCATCTTAATAATGATCAGCGGAATGACCGTACATTTAAAAATAATGTGAGGCTACTTTATGACCATATTAATAATGATCAGCAGAATGACCGTACATCTATAAATCATCAGTTGCTGCCCTCGATAACCTCCCTCTATCCAGTCTGCCAGCGATGACCAAAATGATTTGCATAGAAACCATCAGTCAACGTTTGCTGACATATCATCAGTCTTATCAATGATCCTTCGACCAGTTCCAAAATTTGACCAATGATCGATCTTTGATCTTTTGGCTCCCTGAGTTTTATCCTAACATATTCCGGAGAGTTTTTTTCTGCGTCATATTTGCTAACTGCGAAATATTTTATCAACTCCTAAATTCTCTTGATGATCTTTCCACTTTTCCTCATTTGTTTCTGACGTCATCATTTGTTCATATCGGTCACCTCTATAGCGCTTCATGTTGTCGTAATGTTCGTTGTTTACAGTTTCATTGAACGTCTTAGAAATAATTTGGACATGTTTCATAATAAGGAAAGACACATAATATATCTTATAGTAGATTTGCAAACACATCTCATAACAATTGCAACAGTCAGACAAATAACTATCGAAATTCGACGTTTCCCATTGACTCGAAATGCATTGCAGTAGTTCTTATATAACTAATGCAAGACTCCGCATTTGTTTCGTATTTTTCAACTCATTTGTCATTTTAAACGGAACGGGTATTTGAATTATAATAGTCAAATATTAAATTGTTATTTTCATCAAAAGGTTAAACATTCACACGTAAAAATTCATTTTTCACTTGCATGAAACCACACCTTTAATTGAAGTGGGGCCGGGATTGACTGGTTTTCTGCCATCAATAGTTCCAAGTTTTTCCTGTCAAGCATGTGTAGTCTTGAGCAGTTACTTTACATCCACTAACTTGCTTTATATCTTTCATCGTGAACCTTATCCTTCACTATCATTATCATCCTATTTATCCACTAGCTTTTTCCTCTCGTCAGGCAGTTTACCCAAAAATTATCCACGCGTCTTTCCTCAATTGTGCCTTCTTCTCCCTATTGTACATGAATATTATGTCTATATTGTAATGGCTTCCTTTATATTCGTATGCAAATTTCCTGTAGTTTATCCATAAACTTTTGCTCCCAATTTCAATTATCTTGGTCCAGTTTTGTCTATGTCCATCTTTTGAATGCAATTTCAATCCTTCTTTCCTTCCTTAATGAGACCGTCTCCCTATTACGGAGATATTCCAGTCTTGTCGCAATATTGTCCCTTATGAATCTTGTTTACAAGTTTTTTTTACAGTTTTATAACTACATTACTGCATAGTTTGCAGTTAGTTTACAGTTTTTAACTACATTAATTTGCTCGTGTCTCTTTACAAGCGTACAGTACAATTTCTCGTGTCTCTTGTTTACAAGTGTGCAGTACAGTTCATGGTGTCTCTTGTTTACAAGTGTACAATACAGTTCCTGGTGTCTCTTGTTTACAAGTGTACAGTACAGTTTCTCGTGTCTCTTGTTTACACGTGTACAGTATATCTTCTTAATATGATCCTCTCGTTTCCTGTATTTACAAATTGCTCGTTTTACAGCCTGGAAATTGCAGAGTATTACAACGACACGATCAGAATCAAAACGTAAGGTTTTTTACAGTCGTAAACGCCATTGCTGCTTTAGACTGACAACTAACGTTAGAATGTAAAGCTGACGGCCTTTAGTGTGACAGTTCGGAAGGCTGCTTGTTTGTGAGGAAGTTTGATTTGCAAAACATCTTCTTTTAATTGTCTAAACACATTTTCTTCTAATACTCTATATAAACACTTCTTCTCCTAATATTCTAAACAAATATTCTTCAAATATTCTAAACACATATTCTTATAATATTCTAAACACTTCTTCTTCTAATTTTCTAAACACATCTTCTTCCAATATTCTAATCATATTTTCTTCTTATAACGCTTCATGGGGGAACGCTCTCGAAAATAAATTGCATATTGTAAATCCAACTTACGACTAAAATTCGAGTTTCATAACAATACAGCTAATTACAGACATTAAATCCTAGTTAATGAGCGGCTATACATGTACTGTACGTATGCGATATACCCGGCCGACGTCATTGCATTGAAGTCTCGATAATCTTTATGGTCAATTTTACATAGAAGTTTCAATTTAGAATCTAAGGCTGTATACTGTCAAAAATTCGTAACT